GCGCGCTCCACCGCGGTCCGCTAAGCTGGTTTGGCTCTCCCTGCGGTTCCTCTACGGTCACTGACCGTGTCTGGGTTATCTACGCTCCTGCCGGGCCTCGGTTTCTCCATCCGTACAATGGCTCTATAGAAAAGGACGATCTCCCTGGCCTGTTCCAAGGACTCGGTGCGAGGATACCAGAGTGTCGAGTATGGTCCCTGGTCGGTTACGTCTGAGGGGAAGGATGGTGCGGCTTCCTCCACAGAGTCACAGGTTTGATCCAGCAGTCGGATAGAAGACTCTCCAGCCGACCGGCATCCTCCTACCCTGTCGTACTGATCCGGAGCAGTTGGAAATTCATGGCAATACCGCTACATTCCCACTAGGTGGCGCTGTCACAAAGGACAACGCCGTATGAGGTTCCTGAACCCGGGAGCCGCAAAAGGCTCTGATGCATTTGGGCCAATTCAGCCTGTGACCTTTTGGCCCTTCTTGCCACCTTTACCTCTGTTGAAGCTGACTGTACCTTGCTTGGTTCTGGGCTGTTCATTCCCTCGGTGATGTTAGCAGAAGGCGTCCCTTGACCGAGTTCAACTTTGGATTTTTAAAGAAATTCCATGTTGTTATTTTATTTTTGAAGGGGGAGGGCTGGTTTTCTTGTGATGTGAGCATCCTAATCATTTAGCTACATACCATCTTCGTGCACGTGCTCTCAAGCAGGAAGCATAAAATGATGGGGTAGGCCAAACCTAGCAGTGGTCCCCCAACAGTCTAGGAGGGTCCAAGGCCTACATGGGTAACTTAGTGAGCTTCTGTCTCGGCCGCATAAGTAATGAATAAGAAAAGGCTGGGGATGTGGTAGGCTGCTTGCCTCGTATGTGGAAGCCCTGGATTTGATACCCTTATCACGACACAAGAACGAGTAATGGTAACAGTCTAGTCTACCAAGGACTCTCTGAGCCAGGGATATTTCGCAAATATTTCTAATCCTTCCAACATTGCAAGGTAAGTGTTCTAATTCTTATTTTACAGATGGAGGTCAGGATATCTAGATACTAAGCAGGACTTGTAGGTCTGTGTCCATGTCCTCTACCCTATTCTGTCTGCTTACCTGCTTGTTTTATTTTTTTGTTATTTGTCAGGGTTTTGCTACGTAGCCCAGGCTGGCTGGAATCTCATCCTCCTGCCTCAGCTTCCCAGTGATGAGCTAGCTGATAGTCAGGCATACACCACCTTGCTCAGCCCCTGTTCTGCCTTCCCACATGCTTTAGAACTTTTTACAGGTCACATGACTACAGATCCCAGAAACTGGAACTTGAGACAAGGAAGTGGAACTTCTCTCAGCCTTCAAGTACTGGGATTACATATGCCCATCAGGCCTGACTCAGGCTTTGTATAAAAGCTTTATGTGTATGCATATTTTGCGTGCACATATGTAAATGTACCACATATGCGCCTGGTGCCCACAGCCAGGAGAGGGATTCCCTGGAACTGAAGTTACAGATGATCGTGAGCTGCGGTGTGGGCGCTGGGAACAGGAACCCGGTTCTCTGGAAGAATAAGAAGTGTTCTTATGTACTGAGCCATTGTCCTACCCCATATGAAAGTTTTAAATGTAGACATTTATTTATTGTCCTGAAGAGTGAACCCAGAGTCTCACCCATGTTAGACTTTGCCATTGAACTACATCCCATAAGGGGTTAATTTGGAAGAAAACATGATGAGACAACCGCACAATATTACAAACTGGTAAGCCACACCCCACCTTCCAGAGGTACCCACAAATCGTAGTCTCTGGAGTGTGATGTCTTCTACTGCTGCTTTGTTGAGTATCACGGTTCTCTGATAAACCATACATGAAGTCATACCTAAAATAATGGGGCATAGTGTGACATCCAGCTGAACTGGCAATGAGTGGATAGGTTTGTTTAGTGAATTCTGGGGCAGGAAAACAGTGAGTAAAAGGTCCCTGCCTTCATGGAACTCATGGAAAAGAGAAATTATAAAGCCATAATCTACAAATACGGGAAGTGGACAGATGCTTCCTGAGCACCAGCTGTGTGTGAGGCACTGAAGAAACAGCCCTGAGTGAAGCAGACCCAGTCCGTACATTCTCAGGGTTATGTTTGGCCTGGCAGAGCAGATGCCACACTGCCTAGTGCAGTTTAATCCTGGTTACCCACAAAGATAGAAGAGTAAATAGTGCAGAAAACTGTCCCCTGATCTTCACCCACTATGCCATGGCCTTTGCCTCACCCCCATAAATAAATAAAAACTTAGAGAACCAGACATTTATTGCATGGGCAGACGTTCAAGCACTGAATTGCAGTTGTAGTGAGTACCTCAAAGGAGAAGACTGGAGGTCTGGGAAGGTGTTCTGAAGAGTGGATGGAGCAAGAGCCGGCAAGTTCCAAGCAGAAGAGGTGGCATTATGGGAAAAGACCATAGACTCAATTTAAATTGTAATTAGATAAATTTATTAAGACTGCTAGCAGGGTGACAGCCCTCAAAGCCAAATTGAAGGCATGCTACGCAGAATGGGCTAAGGGAAGGGTTTTAAAGGTGACAACCACAACAACCTTGTTTCTGTGAAATGTGCAGCTGTGTAAAAAACTGCTTCACTCCCCTCAGCTGTGTGAGGAGCTCTCTTCTCCCTGTTCACAGCCATGATGGAGGTACCTCCCTCCCCTGTATACAGTGATAAGCGGGTTTACAGAAGCCAGAACAAGCTGTTAATCAGTTCGCGGCAGTTACATCCTGGGGAGGGTGCAGGTTCCTAGGAGTTCATCTTTCAGAAATTTAGGGCAGAGGCTAATGGCTATGAAGGAGGTACCTGGTACAGAATGTAATTTTCATAGCCATCACATCTTGAAGGATGTGGCAAGGTGAAGAAACAGAAGAATAATAGGTCTTGAATAGAGGAGATTAATGGAGGCAGGGCAGGCAAAGGCTGAATCTTGGAGCTGTTTAAGAATTTGAGCTTTTGTAAGCTCTGGGAGGCTCAAAAGGTCAACAGAGCGTTAAGAAGCTGTGGAAGCAAATGTCAGTACCAGCACCAACAGCTGAGCTTTGCGGGGACTAAGATTTTGTTCTGAAGGGAAGGAGTTTGGGAAGGAAGACCTAGAAGTTCCTAGACAAAGGGGATCCAGCACTCAGGATGCTGAGACAGGAGATCATGAATTTGATGCCGTCCAGGGCTACACAGACACTTTCTTTAAAAAAAAAAAAAAAGGAATTGGAGGGATATCTCAGTAGTAGATAGAGGACTTGCTAAGCTTCTGCAACCCCTAGGGTATACCACGGATAAATAATAGAATCAAAGAATACTTACCCTTATGGAGAGAGGCTTGTGAAATAGTGAATGAAGAAGGTTAACTACAAGGTATAGCAAGCACGATTTGCTCCCCTTTGCAAAATAACCAAAATGTATGCCTTATGTTTATATTTTTATACCCAAAATATGACATGAATGTCCACAGCAGTGTTATTTTTAATAGTACTAAATAGGAAATAAATGTCCATCAGCTGGTCAGTGGTGGCGCACACCTTTAATCCCAGCACTCGGGAGGCAGAAGCAGGCGGATCTCTGTGAGTTCGAGGCCAGCCTGGTCTACAAGAGCTAGTTTCAGGACAGGATCCAAAGCTACAGAGAAACCCTGTCTCAAACAAACAAACAAAGTCCATCAATGGTGGAATGGGTAAATATAGTGTAGTCACACAGTGGAATACTCTACAGTTACGAAGAGTGAAGTACATCAACAATGTCCATAATTATCTCAATAATTGATTGTTTGATCAATAAAACAGATACAAAAGATTATTATTCCATTTATATGAAGTCTAACAAGAAAAGTTGACTTCTGCTATTAGAAGTCATAATGGTGGCTCTCTTTTTTTTCCTTTTGGTCATCTAAGAAAATTGTGGGTGGGTGTGGTGGTACATGCCTAGAATCCCAACACTTGATAGGTAGTCAGCAGGATTAGGAATCCAAGGCCAGCCTCAGCTCTGTTGTGAGTTTGAGATCAGCCTGGACTTCATGAAACTCTCAAAAAAAAATTATGATAAAATACATATACCATAAACTTTGCCATTTGCATTCATACTATTGTGTAATCATTCCCAATAACTGGTTCCAGAATTTCATTTTTTAATATTTAGTTTCATTTTATGTGTATGAGTGCTTGCCTGCATGTGGATCCACAGGTGTGTGTCTGGGTATACCAGTGGGTGTGATGTCTTTGGAGGCCAGCATCCCCTGAAACCGGAGTTACAAGTGGTTATGAGCTGTCATGTGTGTGCTGGAACTCAAACTGGAGACCTGGAAGAGCAGCCAGTGCTTTTAACTACCGATACATTGTTCCCGCCCCACTTCCAGAACTTGAAGTAGTGTCAGCTGGGGTCTCTGTCCACGGAGAGGAGATAATGACTGGGAGAAGCACCTGGCTATTGGTAATTGTTCCTTTAAACAAAATTTCTCTCTTGATGCGGATGTATCCAGATAAACTGACTATACTTCTCTGTGTGAAGTTATACCTAAATAATTGTAGATACATAGTTTTGCTGAGTGGTTGTCTCTCCCCTTAGAGGTAGTACTCTTGAGTCCTCTTTGCTTTGCTAATTGTATTATTTTAGTTCTTTATGAACACAAGTATTACTCTGGCAACAAACTTTTAAAATGTAAATCACTTTAAATAAAGGAAATACAATGTTTTCAAAAGAAAATATTTCTTGTAATCCGAGGCACTAGAACTCTGCTTACTTATGTTTGTGTCATGGTTGACATTTCTGTGTTTGCCCCAACCCTATATGGTTCTTTATCTCTCCTGTCACCTCTCTTCCTGGGTACTGATGAGGAGGGAGGGTGGCCCACTCTCCTTCATCACTGGTGATTATCTCCGCAGATTTATCCTTGCTAAACTAGAAGTAAACTTGAAGCAAAAACTAAAGTTTTGAGAAGATAACATAAAGACCAAGGTATACAGGCTACCTGGACTGGCAAGATCTAGAAGTCTGTCATCTAGAAGGAAATTAATGGTCCCCCTAGTCTGTGATAAAAAGGGTGAGTGGCCCTTAGTGGCCATCAGGAAAAGAGGAAGCACTCCAGGAAATTTAGCAACAGGAGGCATTGCCAGCCACCTTCAACCACGCTTCACCGCCTGGAGATGCTGTCTCAGGACTGGAATAACTAAGCTAGCCTTGCCCTATGATTCGTCTCACTTTCATTTACGTCCTACCCAGTCCCTGTTAGGCTCCTGCTCCCTGCTCCCAGTTCCCACGTTCCTCTATGGTTTCCAGAGCAGTCATCACAATGGCTGCTAATCTGCTGCCACTGTGGTCTCTTTAATAACTGGAACTAAGTCTTTTTGATCACTGCCTCCACAGCTCCAAACAATTCCGGGCTCACAGGTCATACTCAATCCATGTTGATCTAAATTGCTGGAGACATATCCTACCCTTGAGCCTTTCCCCAAGTGGTATGACTGCACACTCTGGTGTTCAGTTCTCTTCTGAAGAAATTATTCCCCATGCAGACCCTGCATTTATTCTGCACCTATGGCGTAGATCTAAACCCACCTCCACATGCACTGTGGATGTTCTCCCTCCCCATCACCTTGCTGCTTCTACTGCACTTTCCTGCCTTTGCCCTTCAAACTCTTCCCCATACCGTTTTCTTCCCATGCTGGGGATTGAATTCAAGGCTTTGCACATGCTAGGTGAGCACTCTGTCACCAAGCTGCATCACTAACTCCTGGACTCCCCAAATCTGAGCCCTTGTTAAGTTGCTTCTGCCTGAATTTATAGACAGGAATTTCCCATACACAATAAAACATGTCTGTCATGCATTATCATTTTCCAGCTAAGCCCTCATCTTAAGCCCTGTGCTAGTTCCTGTTCTAGTTGGAAAGGCAGTGCTGCTGTAGAAGGATTTCATTATGGAAGGGCCTAACAAGGTACCTAACTCAGTCCTTTCTCAGTCATAGTTTCCCCGAGGAACTGAAATTCCTGTGAGCACTCAAGTTTAAATAGAAGGAATTGGGGGCAGTGGGGTGATAAAAGAGCTGAAGAAAACTATATGTTTAAGAGGCCAAGGACTGGGAGGATCCAAGGATCCTGAAGACATTGCAAATAGCTGAGTGTGGAGCCGAGGACGGTGTGCCCAGGTGAGGTTGGGGTGCAGGCATTGATGGAATGAAAGAAGCCTTGCTCCCTGCTAAGTTTGCTTCAGACAGGAGTCTTTTTGGTTGAAAGTGACCACTGATCTGCTAAGAAAAAAGGGGTCCTATATGGGCTCAGTAGCTAAAAGTTCAGGGCTTTCAAGATCAAAGATGTCATTGAGTTTTGACATATCTCTCATCTTTGCTCTCCTTTGTGTTTGCTTCATTCTTTTCTCTGTGAAATGGTCCCCTGATCTCCCCAAAACACAGAAGGCGACTGCAGTGGAAGGGACCATTGATATTGGCGGCTTATCCATATGTCAGAACCTTCAAGGCTACCTTCTTTTCAGGAGGTCTAGACCTTTCTAGCTTAGATTCCCCCCCAGAGGTTGGCAAGATCTTGGCCTTATAGAAACTTATGAAAGCAGAGAAAGGGACAGGTGAAGGGACTCTATTCCAAAACTCCAAAGCAATTTGCTTTTTTACACTAGCCAGCCTCCTGTTCCCAGCTTCTTTGTCCCAGGTCCTAACATGCATATTCTCTGTCTCATCCTTTGCTTTTCCGAAGAGCAGAATCATTAGTTTGGGTAAGAACATAAAGAAGGACGGTAACCTTAGAAACCCACCCCACGTCCTAAGAGAGCGTGACCTACTTGTCTCCCACCCACTCTCGCTCCCTCCCAGTCCTACTCAAACCTTGCCAAGTCCTGCCCCAAGTTCGGGGCATTTGAACTTGTCCATTGAGCAGAGAGAGAGAGGGTCGCTTTCTCCTCACACGCAGGCCCAGCCAAAGAGCATCCCACTCAGGGACCACCTTTTTTTCCCTGGGATCCCGCGCTTCCGCCTCCGGGGCGGAGACTCCTCCCCTCGCAGTCCCAGTTGTGTTCCCTGGAAGAGCCGCCGGAACCGGCACCGGTGAGAAGCCGGGTCCTCCTTGCGTTCTAGGAACCGTTCAGTCCTGAAGGCCGAGAGCCCCACCCGGAATTCGGCGGCTGCGCGGCTTCAGCACCGCGGACAGCGCTCTGTCTGCAGCCCCTACTGTCTGCGGCGAAGCCGCGCTATGCTGGCGGCATGGCCCGGCACTCCAGCTATATGGCGCTGCTGCTCAGCTTCGGCCTTCTCTGGCTGTGTTCAGGTAAGAACTGGCGGCCAGGCTCCCCTGCCTCGGCTAGTGGCTCAGGATGCCGAGTTCTGTCACCCCTGCCAGGACAAAGAAAAAACGAGGAATTCTAGTCTAGAGGTGGAGGAGGGGGGATGGGGAGCATATGGAATACTGATCTGGGAGGAAGACCCAGGCAGAGACAAGGCCAGGGAGAGGTGGAAACCTGGCCATTGCAGGGAAGAAACAAATAAGCACAAAGAGGAAGGAAGGAAGGAGAGGATTCTGAGATGACAAGAGACTTGATACCCTTTGACTTTTTATGACCTGGGTTAATGCCTTCCTCCGGGCTCCCCATCATTTCCCACTCCCCTCATTGGGGTCCTGATTTGGGTCACCCTACAGGGCAGAAATGGAGAACTGTGACTTCTCACCTGGGACAGGAGACTTGGAAGAGTAGAAAATGCCAGACTAAGGACAAGGGAAGTGCTCTGTGGGTGATCAGAAGGTCACAGAAAGGGAGGCATGAGGAGAGGGGCCAGTACAAGGCAATGCACAACAGAACAAACTTTCCACACCTGCATGACAAACGGGGTGGCTACCTGTACCCACAGTTCAGGCAGCCCTACTATTCTGCCCCAACCCATGGAGGCAGAGATCTCAAACCTCAGAGGCTTGTTTCTCTGAAACCTTTTTGGGAAAACAAGTCCCCATTAATCCTTGCAGACTAGGTGGTTGGTCTAGAGGTGAATGGTCTCGGAGAGGGACTTATCTATGAAAATCAACCCGGGGCTTCTGTGGTCCTGTGGCTTATTTGAACATTTTGCAATATCCTTAAGTACAGGGCTGTAAAGAGGCTATAACTTCTAGGATGAGGAAATTGATCAATCACCCCACTCCCTGGGTAAGTGGACCTTTGTGAACCCTTCTGTTTACTTGCTCCATGCCCTGCCTTGCCCAGAGGTTTTGGCTACCGACACAGAGGAGCGGCTAGTGGAGCACCTCCTGGATCCCTCCCGCTACAACAAGCTGATCCGTCCAGCCACAAACGGCTCCGAGCTGGTCACTGTTCAGCTCATGGTATCTCTGGCCCAGCTTATCAGTGTGGTGAGTGTGGCTCTCAAACTCATTGTCCAGCTACAGGTCAGCTCAGCCAGAAAGGGTTTGCTGCTGCGTTTGCTCCTGGTGCTTCTAAGGTGGTGGTGGCGGTGGGACCCTAAGAGGGCGGTGGAAGGGCTGAGGTCTGGAGGCCTTTTCAGCAGCTGCTTTGTTTCCCTGCAGCATGAACGGGAGCAGATCATGACCACCAATGTCTGGCTGACCCAGGTCAGTGGTCTTTCCTACCCACATCCCCTCCCCCTTTCTCTCTTTCCATCTCCAGCAGCGAGGAGTCCTGAATAGTTGGGTTTGAATCCTTATTTGGGCTACTTGCCAGCACTGTAATTAATTAATTTAGAATATGGTCTCACTGTTTATCTCTGACTGACCTAGAACTCAGTATGTGGATCTGGGTGGCCTTGAACTCACAGAGATGTCTGCCTGTCTCTGCCTCACTGGTGCTGGGATTACAGGTGTTCACAGTCCCTGTTCAACTCTGATTCTAAACACATGAAACATGCCCAAGACTCATTTTCACATCTGTGAAATGTAAAGTCTAGTACCCTGGCTCTGCTGTGTAAACCACATGGAGAAGCATCATTACATGACCTATATCTGGGCAGAGAAGTCGCTGTGGAGAGAAGACTGACTTGAAGTTTTCCACAAGCCATATGAGTTCTCTTTTGTACCTTTCTTTGGCTCTGGGCCCCCTTTCGGGCTAGAGGTTGGTACTACCTTGCTCTCTCCGTTTTCCAGGAGTGGGAAGATTATCGCCTCACCTGGAAGCCCGAGGACTTCGACAATATGAAGAAAGTCCGGCTCCCTTCCAAACACATCTGGCTCCCAGATGTGGTCCTATACAACAAGTAGGTGACCCTGGAGTGATAGGAAGGTTAGGAAAGACCAGAGGTGTGCTTGGGAGGGGTTGAGCTCATGGGGGAGGGGCTCCAAGAGGAAGGCACTGTTGTGAGAGCAGGGGCTTTTCCCGGCAGATTGTAGACAGGCATTATTCACACAAACAGACCCAACTAGTGGAATGCAGTGTGGGCAGCCATGGCGACTTGATCAGCCTCTCCCAGCTACTTAGGTTGCCAGCATTTGGAGCGGGGGTAGGGAAAGTGAAGACTGACAGCTGTCAGTGCCTAACTTGATTCAAGAGTGGGCACTTCTGGAAGCCTGTGTGGTGGTGACAAAGAACATAGGCTCCTCGTTTCACCTAGATTCCTGTTCCCTTCAATGAGTCTTCTTACCTTGACGGCACAAAACTCCCTTAACTGACGGGACTGTGCCCATGCCTCTTCATTGCTGGGGCTTCTTGCTCAGACCTCTCTGGCTTCCCCACCTCTTTACCCTCATATTCAGCTTACACATGCAGGACGAGTAGCATCACTCCCATCATCCTCTTCTACCGCCGAGGATATGCATGCATCCTGCACAGGACACCTGTTCTTACCACTAGCCCGTGCAGCTCCCATCTCAAGCCCCATTCCTGCATCGTATCTGTACTAGAGGGCCACCGCTAGCCTAGGTCCTCCTTGCTGGGTTGATGAGTCGGGTGGAGACCCTCATGCCAGGGCTGACTGCCCCATTCCTTGGCAGTGCGGACGGCATGTACGAGGTGTCCTTCTATTCCAATGCGGTGGTCTCCTATGATGGCAGCATCTTTTGGCTACCGCCTGCCATCTACAAAAGTGCATGCAAGATTGAGGTGAAGCACTTCCCGTTTGACCAGCAGAATTGCACAATGAAGTTCCGCTCATGGACCTACGACCGCACAGAGATCGACCTGGTCCTCAAAAGTGATGTGGCCAGCCTGGATGACTTCACACCCAGTGGGGAGTGGGACATAATTGCGCTGCCAGGCCGGCGCAACGAGAACCCAGACGACTCCACCTATGTGGACATCACCTATGACTTCATCATTCGGCGCAAGCCGCTCTTCTACACAATCAACCTCATCATCCCCTGCGTTCTCATCACCTCGCTGGCCATCCTGGTCTTCTACTTGCCCTCGGACTGTGGTGAGAAGATGACACTTTGCATCTCTGTGCTGCTGGCGCTCACGGTATTCCTGCTGCTCATCTCCAAGATTGTGCCTCCCACCTCCCTCGATGTACCGCTGGTGGGAAAGTACCTCATGTTCACCATGGTGCTTGTCACCTTCTCCATCGTCACTAGCGTGTGTGTGCTCAATGTACACCACCGCTCGCCCACCACACACACCATGGCTCCCTGGGTCAAGGTGGTCTTCCTGGAGAAGTTGCCCACCCTGCTCTTCCTGCAGCAGCCACGCCACCGCTGTGCTCGTCAGCGCCTGCGCCTGCGGAGGCGCCAGCGGGAACGCGAAGGGGCAGGCGCGGTCTTCTTCCGTGAGGGCCCTGCCACTGACCCATGCACCTGCTTTGTCAACCCCACGTCAGTGAAAGGCTTGGCTGGGGCTTTTGGGACTGAGCCCACGCCTGCAGCAGGCCCGGGGCACTCGGCGGGGCCTTGCAGCTGCGGCCTCCGAGAGGCAGTGGACGGCGTACGCTTCATTGCAGACCACATGCGAAGTGAGGATGATGACCAGAGCGTGAGTATGAAGTGTAAGATAGGCGTGCTAGGAGCAAGGGCCCCTATGTGCGGGGAGTAGGTGTTGCTTAGAGTCCCAAAGCCAGGGTACAGGGGAGAGGCAACATGAGTGAGGTGGACTCTGCAGGATAGGCTAGCAGACTTACTTGTGTGCACTGGAGTCTGTACCACAGTTGATGACCTTGTGCTTCCCCGAGGAACAGTACTCAGGGTGAGATGCATCAGCTGGGACGTCATCAGTGTGGTGAGGGAGGTAGCCAGGAATCTTAGGGCAGGGGGAAGTTCTTTTGGGCTTGAGGGTGTCACTGAGTTTTTCCCTGTAGGACACATCAAGTTGTTAGTGTGGTACTTAGTGCTGATGGAGAAGTCCTTGTGGGCCACAGAGTAGGCAGAATTGGAGGCAGGGGTGATGACAGACCGGGAAAGGAAGGTTTAGAGGTTCCATGGGGTTCATTCCGGTGGACAGAGCAGAATTTAAAATCAATATCCCATTTCTACTGTCCTGGACCTTGAAAAGAGGCTAATGAAGTATTTATAGAGATGGGGTGGATAGAGGCCCGGGCTCCCTAGACCCATTTTGCACATCCAGTTTCTGGCTCCCCCTCCCCCCAGTCTTCCTAGAAGGTGATTCTTTTGAGACTAATCCAGGAGTTGGGGAAAGGTGCAATGGGTTGACTTCCTACCCCCCATTTTGGGTACCATCTGGCCTTCTCTGAGATCAGTGTTCAGGTACCTGACTGGTTCTAAACCAAGGCTCAGCTGTTGCTATAGTGACCATCAAGATTTCCTCTGGGATTCTGCCATTCCTGGGGAAGGAGAAAGAACAGGCACTGTGGTTTTTGTTGGGAGTCGAGTTCAGACATCGTTTCCTCTGGACGGCAGGAAAGCGTGAGACAGGGATCATTTCATAGCTCAGAGGAAGGCAGAGGGGCTGAGACCACGATGAGGCCACTGAGGCCAACAGGGAGACACTCGGGTACAGGTTCAGTCAGCTGCTGCTGGATCACCGGCTCCACCCCTGCTGCAGTCCATCATCCAGCCTCCATTTCAAGCCAGGTGCTGAGCGGGCAGTGACCTACTTGGATGCCTCAGAGGGATCTAAAACTCAGCACATCCAAAATCGAGTGCTTGGTCTATACCCCCAACCGCCCCTAGTTTCTCTCTCTCTCTCTCTCTCTCTCTCTCTCTCTCTCTCTCTCTCTCTCTCTCTTCCTCTCATTTGTTTTTCGAGATAGGGTTTCCCTGTAGCTTTTAGAGCCTGTCCTGGAACTAGCTCTTGTAGACCAGGCTGACCTCGAACTCACAGAGATCTGCCTGCCTCTGAGTGCTGGGATTAAAGGTGTGCGCCCTTTAACTGCCCGGCTTGTTTCTCTATCTTGTAGTAAATGGCATTACCATGGGCTAAGTGGTTCACACTGAAGCCTGGGGGGATCTCTCTCTCTCTCTCTCTCTCTCTCTCTCTCTCTCTCTCTCTCTCTCTCTTCCTCATTATTAAAGTTATCAAAATAACTGTCCTCAGAGCACCACCTCCAGAATGATCCCCACTTTGTTATTGCTCTGCCACCTTAACGCGAACACCCTGGTCAACTTCAGCTCTGTGTGGACCGGAATTGTCTCCCTGATTCAGCTTCCTATGCCCTAGGCTCTTGACAGTACCATTCCCTGGCCCACTGGCCTATCAATTCAGTTGTCAGAGCAAGCCAAGCTCTTTCCTGCCCTGGAGCCTTTGCATCTGGGTTCCTCCACCCTGAGCAACCTTTGTATTAGTTACTGTTTCTCATGGCTGTGATGGAATTTCTGACAAAAACAGCTTCAGGAGAGCAAGGCTTGTTTGGACTTATAGTTTGAGGTTACAGCCCGAGGTCCTATTGAGCCTACAGTCAAGAAGCAGGGGGAGGGGAACACTGATACTCAACTAACCTTTTCCTTTTTTCTGTCTGGGACCCTAACCCATGGAATAGTGCTGGCTGCCTCAATTAACCCAGTCTAGAAAACTTTCCATAAACTTGCCCAGGTTTGTTTCCATGGTGATTCAAAATCTCATCAAGTTGACAATATTAAACCACCTTTTTTTTCTAAAGACAAAAATCTATTAGTGTCATTAATTTTTGCTTTGTTATTTAAGAGTAAACCTGTATATAACCTATTACCCCCAAACACTTCAGTGTGTCTCCCCTTAAGAACAGGGATACTCTCTTGCATGACTCAGCTTCAGGGCTGGGGATGTGGTTCAGAGGTAGAGGTCACAGTTCGCATGTGAGTTCCAACTGTAGCCAACAACCGACTAAAACAACAATGAAGTGCTGGGCTCAAAGACTGACTTCTGGAAGAGCATCGATACTTTTACTACCGTGAAGTCCACGTTCAGGCTTTTCCAGTTGTCCTGGCAGTGCCCTTCTTAGGACTGCCCCCCCCCCCAGACCTAGGACCCCGAGCTGCGGTTAGCTGCTAAGCCTCATTAGTGTCCTCCCCCAGATTTGCCTTTTGTGGGGACCAACAAGGTGAGCAGGGTTCTGCTGGCTTTGCCTGCCCACATCTCCCTCCAGTGTGATTTTGCTCTGGAGTGTAGACTCCTGGAAGAGGCGCTTCCAGGTCACACCCTGCTCCCATCTTCCTTCTGTTTCTCCAGCCTAGTCCTCCATTCCCTCTCAGTGAGTAATCTTTGGTTTATTGTCTCCGTCTCCCCGAGAGACTGACAACCACAGAGTTGTGTCCCAGTGCCTCTCAGGATGCTATTGTGCCGGCTACATGGAGGTGCACAGCTGTCTTCTCCCCACCCTGTGAGCTGGCTGGGCCCCAGAGACTGGCTTTTCTGTGACCGTGTAGTAGGTTCTCGATCCCCATGGGCTATTATTAGCTTTCTGACTGATTTTTTCCCTACCTGGGCTCCATTCTCACCTTCTGGACCTCTGTACAGGATGGGGTGCCCCAAGCTATTATGAAAGCAGAGCTTCAGGGCCAGCGGTTCCCAGTTGCTGAGCACTGTCCCAGGTGCTATCAGGGTCCCTTTAATGTAGGAGTTTGCAGTTTGGTGGAGGGCCAGACATACAGATGCGATATGGCATAGTCTAAATATTATGTTGGCAATATATAACCCAGTGCCAAGGGAACAAAAGGATCAGGGAAGCCTTCATAAAGATTATATTTGATTAGGGCTTTGAAATATGTGTAGGAGTTTGGCAGGGTTTTGTTGTTGTTGTTGTTGTTGTGGTTTGTTTAAGGAAGTGAGAACCAGGAAGACATGTTGGAGTTCTCACTAACCCTGAATTTTGGAGTGTGGGAGGCAAAGGAAAATAGGCTCCTATGCATTATGGGTGGGTTTGGATGGGCCCTGGAGGCTGTGGAGGCACTAGAAGCTTTAAAGCAGGCAAGATCAGGGCTGTGAACGGTTGTTCTGGGTTTGCTGAGGAAGAGGGGTGGGGTGTGTACATGTGTGGAGGGGACTTTTCTACCCCATCCCATATCTGAGCCACTTCTATCTCCTCCATCCAGGTGAGGGAGGACTGGAAATATGTTGCCATGGTGATCGACCGCCTGTTCCTCTGGATCTTTGTCTTTGTCTGTGTCTTTGGCACCATCGGCATGTTCCTGCAGCCTCTCTTCCAGAACTATACTGCCACTACCTTCCTCCACCCTGACCACTCAGCTCCCAGCTCCAAGTGAGGCCTCATTCATCTGCAGCTCCTCCCTGTGACCCCTGGGGTTCAATAGTACTGGGTGGAAGATGGCTCCATCCCCACTCCACTGAAGACCTGCTTCACACACCCACTCACACGTAGCCCTCCAGCCTGGAGGCTGGGCCAGCTGCTCTCCTTCCCCTCCTCAGCTGATTCAGGCAGTAGTGCTAATGGTGGGAGCCAAGGCTGGTAAGTAGAAGTCAGAGGTCTCAGAGCCATCCACATTGAGAAGGATGTTGGAGGAGGGACCAAGAAAGGAACAGAGTTATCTATGGCCTCCAAGTCATGGGAGAAGAGGAGGTGAGAAGAGGGGCTCAGATCCTCCAGCCAGGCCGACAGTGGAGACCACTGAGATAGGAGTGGGGAGTGTGGCCAATAGTTGGCACGCAGTCACTTATGTGCACAGCAGCTGATCTGGAAGGATCGCAGTTTCAGGGGGTCCTCCTGAGAGCTTCAGCTGACCCTACAGCATCCCAGGGAGCTGCAGCTTAGTCTCTCGGCCTGTACGTTGGAGGACTCCAGAGCCCAGCTCCAGGCTCCCTTCTGCCAGTGCAGAATCTCTGCATGCTTCATTTCTCTCTCTGTCTCTCACTTGGGAAGGTGAGATGTTAGAGGGACCTCTGACGGTCGTGAGCTAAGTGAGAATTCTAGGTAGTCTCAGAAGAATCTTCCGGAGCTGGATTCCAGTAGGAGCCAAGTTACAGACCCAGAGCAGGCCTGGAAGGTGAGCGAACCCCCTCCTTGCTCCAAGGCCACGGACTGCTGGACAGACACTGTGAAATGAATGGCACCTCGCTGCACTTCCCAGCCGTCAGGGGCGCTCGTGGGCATCTCTGCTTGGTGGCAGGAGGGACCTCCTCCTACTAGAACAAGAAATTGCCTGTAGAAGGCCTCGCTCCCCAAACTTCCAGCCCCAGAGAAAGCACCCTGGCATCAGAAGCAGCACCTGGAAAGACAGTGCACCTCTGGAGGGCACTGCAGGCTTTCCAGGCTCCAGGAGACACACCAGCTGCTGCTGTGCCCACCTTGACTAAAGTAACTGGCTGTCAACTACCTCCTGTAACTGGCTGTTGTGCAAATTAGTCACCAGCCAGGTCTGCAAGGTCAGTGAGGCGTTTGTCCGACTCTTCTCCGTGTACTGTTTAACATATCAGGTAAACAGTGCCCATCTTAGAACTTGCTCTCAGCATTTGTACAGTGGGAACAGAGGTTGGCAGGGCTGTGATGGGTGGGAGGGACCCGTGTGGATGAAGGATCCTGAGGATACGCTGTCCCCCCACATTGGGTGTAACCTTTTGAAGAAGAGACTGCAGTAAGGGAGAGGAGGTAGGAGGCCATCCTGTGTCAGAGCAGTGTGAACCCTAAAAGATACTGGGAGGCTTTGGGGGAAGCTCAGTCCCTGCCACTTTGCGGCCTTCTGTCTCTCCTCCGTGAGCTGTCTCTGAAGAGAATCAGGTGATGAGTTTGTTGAGCCTGCATGGGAATCTGGGACAGGGTGACCTGGGAGTGGCAGTGGAGAAAGGAGTTGGGGACTCCCATCAGCAACCAAGCTCCAGTAAGCTGGCGACCACCTGGCCTGGAAACATGGCCCGCAGACTCCCTGCCACGGTGGAGACCTGCCAGTCTGGAGCAGCTGGTGCCAAGGGTGAGGAAAGCCAAAACCAAACAGGACACAGGACCCTCCAGAGTTTTCTTTTGTTGTTGTTGTTGTTGGGGTGGAGATTAAGTGGAAAAGAAGGACTTCCTTGTAATTCCTTGTAAGGAACAAGAACAGAGAGGGACTGGCCGCTGCTCCTGTCCTCTGGGACTCTGCCTCCGACAGTCCCAAGAGAAGCAAGCTCCAGAAAGACCAGGGGCAGCAGCAGAGCATGTCTTCAGAGAGCCTGGTACCTGCTCCCTGCCTGTCACCTTGGCCTCCTGGGGAGGAAAGCTAAGGCCTTTAGAGCTGTCTGAACTGTCCCCCAAGCAGAGTGACACGGTCCCTGTCTGTTGTCACTTTCTGCTTCCAGGCAGAAATGGCTGTTGAGCCCCTCTTACGTTGGCCAGCTTCCCACTCACCAAACCCAACTGGACAGGACAACGGTCACTTTGTAGTAATTATCCCATCATGTCTGAGAAGTCGGTCAGTGTGCTGGTCACGTGCTTCCCAAAGGACTAAAACTTTGGGAATTGGTAGGTTCCTCACCCACCCACACCCAGTACACTCATCTCTGTGCCGTCCCTGTGCCCTTGTCTCCACTCCCGGAATATGTGCAGTGGTCCACATCACTTTCCCTAAACCTGTGCCCCCACCCCTACTGCCCACCCCTGTAGCTGGACTCATTCCTCTTAAAAATTGTTTCTAAATATGCCTTGTTACTTTGTTCTGTTTGGGGAGAAGGACACTAACCCTTCCAGACAAGATTGACAGAATAGAAGGGGTGAATGCTAGAGAACCCCCACTCGGGCAAGACATTGAAAAGCCAGAACAGACGGAGTGGCAGCAAGTCCTGCCAGCCAGTGTTATCTGTCTCATTTACCAGAAGCAAAAGAAATGGCCTGGGGGCTGAGCGGAGGGGCCCTCTGGGGGAGACCCTGTAAGGAACCAGCAGGGGGCAGGGTGGGCTTGGGCGTCCTCTCCAGCCCTGGCTGGCTGACCCCCGCTGCTCTGGCTTCACCTCTGCCCAAATCCTGGGATCAGATTTGGCTGGGCCTCTCTGGGCCTTTAGCTTAGGTTCAGAAAACTGTCTCCTACCTTCAAGTCTGGGAGCCGGGGGGGGGGGATATCCACCCAGAGCTACATCCTCAGAGACTGGAATACTCCATTTCCCTGGAGGCGGGCCCAGTGGCTGCCTGAGGACAGAGACATTTGAGACTCTGGGACAGCAGGAGCTGTCACCCTGAACTGCCTTTAAAACTGCTCAGTTCCCTGAGTCCTGCATCAAAACAGGTGATAAACGATACCACATAAAGTCCTGGTCTTATGTGTTGTGACCTTGGTTGGCCCATCACCTTTCACTCAATGTCCTTGGGGATGGTATCACTGTTGAAGGACCAAAGATGGGTCACACAGGAATTCTGGAGAGAGTGACTGTGTTCAGAGAGGAGTTTCCTTGACATTTAAGAGGGAGACTTCGGATGCCATCCACAGAGTGAGTGAGAAGGTGCACTCAAAGCCACCCCGGTCCCTGGCTCTAACTCCCTTCCAAAGGGCACATACAGGCACAGGAAAGGCTGGGCGCTTGTGGGGGGAAAAAGGTGAGAGGAGACTTGTGGCCTCCAGCGCCGTCCCTCCGTCCTGGGCTTTGAGAGCCTATATAAGCCCCTATGAAAAAGAGACAAGAGGAGGGCTCAGATGGGGAGGGGAGCTGTGAGCAGGGAAAAGGGGGGCAGGGCCAGAGCACCCAGCCCATCGACTCACCACACCGACACCCCGTCGGGCTGTGGCCAGAGACTTTAGTGTCGCAGGTCTCTGTCCCCAACCTCACCTCCCCCAAGCAGCCAAGCCATGAAACTAAGAGTCCTGTTGCTTCAGTGTGTTTATTTCTGAGGAATGTATACTGCAATCTGTTAAGGGACACAAGAAGGACTGCATCCGTCACAGCACCAAGGCTATGCCTGGGCTCTTCTCCACTCTGTCTTGGAGTCACTGCCAAAACCCCAAGACCAACAAAAATCCCTTCAATCTGAGCACAGGAAATAGTCTCAGGCATTGACAATTTTTACACGTGATTATTCAAAGAATGCAAGACAGTCACAGTTCAGACAATTCAACTACAGAAATCATTAAGAAACGGTGCGGAGGGAAGACCGTTTCTTAAAATGAAGATCACACACAAAAGTGAAGAAAACGTGGTGGAAGCTCCGCCCCCTGACCGGGCCCGGAGGCAGGGTGTGTGCCAGTGGTTCACTTGGGCAGGCCCTTGGGAACAGCTGCAGAACCGGGAACCACAGTTTGCTAGGCAGGGTCTGAGGGTAAGGGTGGGGCTCTGGACTGGAGAGCCCCGTGTGCCTGGTTGAGGAAGAAGCTGCTGAAGCGGCTCTGCTGCTTTGAATGAATACCCAGGAAGGACCAGAGGGGCCAAAGGAATTAATGGAGAAAAGTGGCCGCCCAGGCCCAGAAGCCACAATTGCTCTGCCGCAGTCAGATGCAGGTGTCAGGATGTAACATGCCTCAGCTGACAACACACACATGCTGCTACCTTCAACATCTGCAGGCAGCCCATCACTACTGCAGACACTAGCGGTTCCATAGGATAATTTGTTGTTGTGCAAACAATACATCCCCAGTGTATTGCTAAGACACAGGTTCTTCTGTTAGCCAGGTTTGATCATAGGTTGAGACAGCAGCCATTAGAATCAAAGTGCGAATATGATATGGTTGCTGTTGGCAGTGGGCCAGAGGGTGGGAGAGCCAGCACTGAGGGTGAGCAAGGGAGTGCAGGAGACCACTGATACAACTATTCCCAGACAGAGCCACACCATTCAGAGGAAAGGCATGGGCTTGGTCCTGTGGGGCGGAATGGAGCGGGGTCTAGCTGTCTGGTTGACTTAGTGCTAGAGCCAGACTCTGTACAGAGGCTAAGGCTCCTACATACCCACAATTCAATGTTAGGGGGAGGAGGAGGAGTCAAAGGAGCCCACCCCAGAGCGGGAGGCTAGTGTGCCCTGTCACCTACAACACTGCTGGACATATATATCAAGATTCCCAAAGGGGCGGGGCAGGTCAGGAGATTGCAGTGCCCTGTGCCCCGCCCATGAGTCAGCTTCTGAAGCCATCTGGTAAAATGAAAGTACATTCACTAATGGAAAAATATATTTGTCTCTCAAAGTCTGTAATGCAGTCCAGAATCAAGATCTCTGGCCTTCTAGAAACATTCATTTTACGCAAGGCTTTGTCAAGTTCTGCTAACAGTGCCGTGAGAAGAATCCCAGTGGACCAGTGCCCTCACCAACATGATGCTTTGCATTAATCCCTTCTCAGTCCGGACAAAGATGACCCATGACTTGTCCTCAGCTCTTCACACAGATACTCCATGTGGACAGAGCCAGATTCTGGGAATGCTCTACGGAGGGCAGACGGGGGTGTGGCTATATTCCAAGGAATGTTGCTGCACCCTGGCTAGCGCTCTGTGGGCCCCTACTGGGGCCCCTGCTCGGCTTGGGCACCTTCTCCAGTTCCACATCTGGTTCTCAACTTTCCTGTGCCCAGGAAAGGAAGTTCCCTGGCTGGCCAGCACAGCCTGTTGTCAGGCAGGGCTTGCCTGTCCCAACCACATTCTCATGGCCCTACAACCCCTGATCCGTTCTCAACTCCTGTTCTTGTAAACATGTCACCAATCCTTTATGTCCACTCTCCCCTCTGGGGCGGAAGCAGAAACCTCATCACAGGAAGGAATTCTGGGAGGGAAGACTAGGGGGCCTGCAGGTCTAGAGGTGCCATCATGAGTCCCTGACATGATTTTCAGGGAACTGGTGGGAATGTAATCAAATCCACAAGAGGTCAGTGTAGCAAACGGAAAGGAGATGCAACTCCACAAAACTGAACTGGAGGGACCAGGCGCGGGGATCGGGGACTGGCTATGCTACACGGGAACAAGTGCCCCTCAGCCTTTAATCTCTGACATTTTGCTTGGGAAAAGGGTGTGAGGAGGCTTGGCCAGACCCCACCTCGAAATCCCAAAGCAGGTGAGGTAAATGGGAACCAAAGGTCTTGGTACCATCTATCATGGTTCCTCCATTTAAAGTAAGGGGGGGGGAGGGTTTGAGAAAAAAAAGCCCCCGAACTCTGGCCCAATGTGATGAGGAATGCCACGAACTCCCTCTGACCCCGTGGGAAACATGCCCCACTGTCAGTCATTGGGCACTGGACAGAGATAAAAGTTCTTTTCTTCCTGGGGTTTGCTGATCCAGTTCCCATAGCCCATGTCCCGCAGGCTTTTCTTGAAGTAGTTCTTGGCTAACTCGTAGTCTCGGGCAGCTTTCTTGGCCTCACCATAGGAGAGCTGCAGTAGATCTCTTCGGGCACGGAAGGAGCAAAGCTTCTTAAACTGAAGGAAAATGTTCTTCTTGGACACCCGAGACAACTCCTTCCCTGGTCTGGGGAAACAAAGGCATTGGTTATTCATTTGGAAGCAGATGAGGTGAGGGCTAAGGTGTGAATTTTGTGGAAGGTGGATGGCCCTGAACTCCCAACTCCAAGCGGGAGCAGCAGCAAGCCTGTTGGGTCTCTCCTGTGCCTTCTTGCCTCCTTACCCATCCACAGTGCCTCTGGTGCCATCCAGAATCTCTAGGTCGTAGCCGTCAGCCGCGCACCAGTTGACACTTGTCTCCTTGGTCTTTCCAGACTGCCGTTTGGAGTCATACACACTGACTCGGCCGACCTAGGAACGCACAGAGTGATGGGAGAAAGGGAACCCTTTCAGAACAAAGGTTTGGGGCAGGGCTGCAAGACTGCTGGGTAAGGAGTGTGAGGCCCTGGTCGTTCCCTTTGAGAGCTGCACTAACTTCACCATGGTTCAGACTGCACTTTGGACTGAGAGCTGAAGCCCAGACCCCCAAAGGGAGCAAGAGCTTGCCTTGGGACCCCAGCAAAGGCTTCCCTTCCCATAGCGCACAGCTTTGTATAAGGAGGTGTGTGTCAGGAGCAAACAGAATGGGGTTAGAGCACCTTGGGATGGTTGACAATAAAGGGATAGCGGAGCCCATCCTCAAATGCATTCCCATCTCTGGTCACACGGCAGCAAATGGCACGGGTCAGATGCCCTTGGCTGAAAAGGTAACCTGGGTGAAAACAAAAGCAAGTTTACACCTGGGTCTGCAGCAAGTGCTGCCGAGAGGCAGAGGCACACAAGGAGTTGGGAGATGAGAAACAGTCATCAGGACAGAGAAACAGCTCCTTTGCTGTGAGACACCTGACTGTGGCCACACAAGACACACAGGACATCAAATACCTAGGCTGGAGGAAAGGCAGAGGACTGGGAGAAAATGGGGAGGAGGACAGCGAGGCTCTGAGAGGCTTCGCTGCACCCCAGGACCCCTGGAGTCTGGCATGTCTTTCCTGTGTTTGCTTGCTGCACACGCCCACCTTCCCTGCCACAGCAGACTGAGCACTTAGATCCTGTTCTTTTTTAAAAAAAAGATTTATTTATTCATTAAGTATACAATGTTCTGCCTGCAAGTATGCCTGCACACCAGAAGAGGGCACCAGATCTCATTATAGATAGTTGTATGTCACCATGTGGTTGCTGGGAATTGAACTCAGAACTCCTGGAAGAGCAAACAAACAGTGCTTTTAACCTCTGAGTCACCTCTCCAGCCCTAGATCCTGTTCTTATGGGGAAAATACAGCTCGCTTGGGAAAGGAGACATAGGAACACATGACAAATGGCTTGTTGGGATCTGAGCCAAGGACAGGTGAATTCCAGCTCCCAAAGTAACTCCCTTACCTAGTGTTACAGATTTCAGGTACACAGGCTGTAGGAAGTGAGTCAATAGTGCCCCTTGCAGGCCCAGCACATTCCAGCGTAGAATTTTGTCACTACAGGACATGGTACGGAGTCTTTCCCCAAGTCGGAT